CAAACAAAAATATCAACAAGGTGGGAGGGAGTCTCTGTTTAACGTTTCATTGAAAAAGAAATGGGTCAACAAAAATTACGTCTTAGGTTTCTGTCTTTTGAATTTTGCTCCATACCATTTTATTTAACCTTCCAACTATTTTTTTTTTTTTCATCATATAAAGTAATCAGATTCTCCATCCACTTGAGGCCGGAGTTTGCTCTAAGTTTTTCGGCAAAACGCATTCCATTAGGAAAGAAATTTTCTCGCGCCAAAGAAACCTGAAAACTCTGATACATTACGTGATTTCATATTACAGTAAGTCCGCTGAACTTCAACGTTAACGTATTATTTTAAACCATTAAACAGAAAAGCGATGCAAATGGGAAACAAAATGGTTAAAAGCTCCTTCCAAAATATTTTATTTAAAAACTACATCGTTTAAAAGGATCCAGATATAAACCAGCTGCTTTGCTCTTTCGGCTGACTTGCATTTCAACAAAGAATTTTCCTAATTTGATACAGTTATCAAACGGCAAAGAGCCATAATTGCGCGAAAGATAAATACGAAATCAACATTAGTAAGTTTAAATAACAAAAGATAGTTAAATATATTGCAATACATATCTATGATAACTATGTTCCTTATCTTCAGCTAGGACCGGATCTAGATATTTAAAGGCAATGAGTATTTATACAAGATTTTGAAGCCTTATATGTAAAACAATAAACAGTAAAGTAAAATTTTATTTTCAAAAAAAAACTTAAAGGAAGCTTATTATGTTATTTAATAGATTATTATGTTTATTTTGCATATTTTGAATTAATTTAAAATGTTTTCTCATTCATTTTTTTCTAATTATAAGAACTCTGGTCATCATATCCTCAAATTTAATGTTAGAAAACATATATCTTTCAATATACGTATTTAGAAAGACTAGTGAACAAGCTTACCAAATGAGCGAGCTGCAGCCAAAGCAAAATTTGTAAGTTCTACGTATCCTTGTAAAGCAAATGTATAAAAACATTTCAGTATGAATGAAATCAGTTCATTCTTTCCAAGCAACAACCAATTCGTAAATAATTTTTTTATTGCCAAACCAGGAAACAAAAACTTTTGACGATTCAGGTTTATACGTCATGATTTAAATTTAATGTAATATAAACAACATTTTCTTATTATCAATTAAAGAATTAACGTGGCAATAACATATCGTTTCAATTATACTAACCCGAAACAAAAAAGTTGCCAACAGCGGCTATTTATTTAAAATGCTGATATTAATGAAAAATGTTCGATATACAAAAACGTCACGCAATCGCATGCTTTCTTCAATAATAATAATACATTTAATGTTTGGCAAAGCTATTTTTATTTCATATTTTGTAAAACTTACCAATTTTTTTATTAAGAATCTCTACCATTTGAAAGCGAGTAGTGGCAACGCTTTTCGAAATAAAGCAGATTTTTATTTCCAGCGTGCGAGACCGTTGCCACTGTGAAAAATGAGAGCGAAATTAGCGTTTTAAGAGTTTTTTATTAATATCTCGTCTGATTAAAGTCGTAAGAAGATGCGAATGCTCGAAATTGGCATCCTACGAACTTTTGGAACTTTTTGAATATTAAATGTTTGGCAATCCTATTTTTATTTCATATTTTCTAAAACTAGTAAATTTTTTATTAATAAACTCTACGATTTGAAAGCGAGCAGTGGCAACACTTTTCGAAATAAAACAGATTTTTATTTCCAGCGTGCGAGACCGTTGCCACTCGGAAAAATGAGGCCGAAAATTGGCGTTTTCAGAGTTTTCAATTAATATCTCGGCTGATTCAAATCGTACGAAGATGAGAATTGTCGAAATGGCTTCCCACGAATTTTTGGAATCCGGGGATACCTCTCTCGAACCAATTCCGGATGAGATAATGCCACAAACAGACATGCACCAATTTTAATAGTATAGATAATGTACTCAACGTGTTTGGCTGTAAAACCATTCTCCTGAGATTTTAAATACACTTTCCGCTGAGAAAATGAACGTCATTTATAATTTCTTTATAATGCTTCATGTTCATAAAGTTACATTTTGTTTTTACATTTTTGTGGTACCGGTTGACATTTAAGTGAAAAATCAGCTGAAAAATGTTTAAATCCCTTGTGTAGGTAGGTAGGTATCTGTCAGCTTTTGGCAATAATGAGAACATGTTTCAATTTTACAAGATAATATGACATTATGTGGTACATACACGAGAAAATAAACCTTTCTGTGATTCCTCTACATATCTCTCTTATCTTCGATTCTGCTTATCGTCAATAATTGTACAAAGGTCCCCTTTCCCTCTATGTTTAAAAGCGAGTGCTTATTTTGCTTAATGGTCATTCCAACCCTGCCTTTAGTTACCAAAAATAGATACAATAAGTTATATGAAATGGCTTCGGGGAATTCGACCGTCGAAATAGTAGCGACTGAGGTTAAGAGAAACGGGCAATTACGGCAGTCACTAGCTAAAAATTCAATTGCAATAACTATCTAAATGTAGGATTATTTATATTTCATGTCGATAGTAACACTAAGCACACGCCATTCAACATGCGTTTAGAGAAATTTTAAGCATAAAAATCTACATCTTCCTCAGCTGAAAAAGTTTTAATTCCATTTCTTTTATGTTCTGAATCGTTTCGAAGGTCTCCGGTTAAGAGGTGCCATTATCACTCTGATACTGCTGGTTATTATAAAGTTCTTCTTAATACGTTATGGATTGGATTAAAACGTTTATATTCTATTTAGTATACAACTCCGAACTAAAAATGAGCGTCGCAAAGGAACAACCTGTTTTATGGCAGTTGGAACATCGAACAAAGAATAAAGGTGGCGTCTACACAGTTTGGAATGTAAAAGGGTGGAGATCTCCTAAATATAAAGTGTTAAAGAATTTCTAACCATGAAAATTATGACAAAATTACATGATCTTATGCATTTTACGCACGAATGAACAAATTTAGGATGAAATAAAAACAAATACACATATATATATGTATATACAGACATTCCTGATTTTTGAATGAAAATTTAGAAAATGGTTATTTTAAACATAATAAAAAGCTTTAAAAATTTGTAAATTTCCTTTAATGGATTATACACAAAAAATGAAATTATTACCATCAATGGGTTATTATGTACACTATTATTACCATCAATATATTATTATCTACACTATTATTACCATCAATAGATTATGATATTATTATTATTAATATCAATAAAAATAAAGTGCATGTATACTTTTATACTTTATACAATAAAAACAAATGTATATATCTTAGAATTGAATAGAATACCTTTCATAGCCTCTCTGTATTATGGATGGTATAATATTTCTACATCTACTAATACACATCTCTCTTCATACATACATACTTTTACATACTTTACATATTTTTTACATGCATACTTTTACATTTTTTTTTTTTTTTTTGTAATTTTGGAAACAAAATTTACATATATTAGAAGACAAGTCTTCACGAATATAGTAAGATTACAGTAAGATGCCTTGGATCTCAAAAATGTGATGAAAAAGTTGTAAAGAAAATTACTGTGAGAACATTTTCAAGTTACTTGTTCATACCTGTACGATGAGCATTTTTATTATACGAGATATTTCCCGAACAGTATTTTAATTCCGTTTACCATTTAAATCTCTCGCGGTTCGAAAGCTTTTAACCCAATTTTTAGAGAATTTCTTATCGTTAACAAAATACGAACAAGCGTAGTTAAAAGATGTATCAACAAAAAATGCTGTAAAAACGGATTTACTAATACTGATACAAAAAATTAACTTTTCCTTCACGTCAGTGAAGACTGCGATTAAAAATTAATCTAAATTTTAAACTTTTTTAACTAAATTTAATTTAAAAAAGTGTATAATAAATTGTTTTAAATGAATAATTAAACGCTTCGCACCATCTAAGGTGTTAGTTGATCAATGTGCAAATGAAATTTCCTAAAATGAGAAAAATATTGAAGAATCATTTCATCAGGGTCGGCGCCACAGCATGTTTAATACGTGCGGTCGGGCCGGGCGGTAGAATTTTGGTGCGGCAAAATTTTTAGAATTTCGGAAGGAACCGGGCGGCAGAATTTTGAAGTTGCAGAGTTTGCAACTGGCGGAAAAAAAAAAAAAAAAAAAAAAACGCCGGGCTTGCATTTCATTATTGTGTATTCCCACAGATATCATTCCGATTAAGACGATTTGAAAAGAAATTCAGTAATTAATAAACAATAGCTACACTCTCAATACTTAATAAACAATAGCTATTCATTATTTAATATATATTATTAATTTACTAATCTATCAATTAATCTAATTAATAATATATTATATTAAGATCAATAAGTTTTGTACATATTAGGCATTTTTCATGAAAAGAAAACGTACTTACTTTACGTGAATTTTATTAAGGGTTTGGGAAAATAGCTGAAAGATTAAAATATGCTTATTTTATGCTAAAATACATCTTTTGCGTTTCAACTGACTAATCTAACCTAGCAATATAAATATAGTTTAGGAAAAAGTTAATTCTTCCCCTTCTTTTATTTAAAGAAGAGGAAGAATATATATATAGTGAATATATGCAAATATATATATATTAAAATATGTGAAAACAAATTAATTCAGTGACTAAATAAAACCATTTTAGCTTTCGCAATACATTATGGGTTCACGCTTAATTAGTATATCTCTCATTGAAACACTTTTTTGAATATTTTATCATGGGAAATAAAACACTAAGCAAGATGCAAATTTCCTACAAATTACCAAATAAATTCGTTTTAAATTTGCCATCTAAGGTACTAGCAAGACGCGGGGGGGGGGAGGCAGCAAACAAAACATTACCAAGACAGACAAAGTAAGACAGATGTCTGATTAAAAGTCACAAATTACGTTACAAATACAGTTAAGTAAACTTAAGAAAGTGATTTATTTAATAAAAATAGTTAAAACGATCGAGGTTTACACATACCCAAGACGCCTTTCAGCAGAAGCGAACGTCTTCGCCAAAAGTCTTCCGAAGCCGTTCCGCGGGTAAGACAGATGGGGATCTTGAACGCGACCTTGAACAATGCTTGAATCGAATTTGACAGTCACATTTACTGAATGAGATCTGCTGTAAAAGTCACAGCAGATTCTTACAAATTTCGGCCCAAATTCAAGCACAGATCGAAGTCCTTAGGGTGTATCACTTTCTACAAACTCTCCGAATCAAAACCGTGAACTACGATCTTACAACAAAAACTTTTGCTTCAAGCGTTTCGAGTTGTTGCAACTCTCCGAGACAGTGAATGAGAGGGTTTCGGCTCTGATTGGCCAAGAGTGGTGAATGGCGAAGTGGGAGGAGATTGTGACGTCAGACGCACAGGTTCACGGCCTGACACATGCATTTGGAGAACTTACGATCCCAAGAAAAGAGACACTGAGGTGTACTTATAAACTGACTTATCGCTGCCTTTGGCGATATTTTTAAGGGGAAATAAAACTTTTAAGAGAAACCGTTGTAAACTTACATAATGGCAGTATTTGTAGTAATTTATTTTCTGTTATTTTTATACGCAGGATCAAAAATGCGCGTTAATGTTTGAGCATTAAGTTTTTAAATGCAAACGTAGGATGAGGGAAAGTTAAATGTTCTCGAATTAATGAATCATGAAAATTTATTCCTTTAAAACTTTTTTCCTAAGTTCAAACTTTCAGTCCTTACTCTAGTAACAGTACTTTAGCAGTGTCAAATTTTACTACATACTTCTTAATGTTTTAAATCTTCAATCGCACTGTCCAATATCTTATATCAATATAGATATAGAGCCGTCAACCCGAAACCAACAACTATTAGACTCGAAACGGGATTTTACGTCGTCCACTCTAAACGGCGAATCACTTTTCAAACTGTTGCCACCAAATAATTATCGCCCTGTATTATTTTTAAAGAAATTAAATAATGAAGTAGGCATATATGTATGTTCCCCGCACAACGAAAAAAACGACGGTACCTAGGATCATCTAATTCTGAATAACGTAGTCCTCCATCCGATCATATGCAACTGGAAGCGAATTTTGAATGTCATCTTTCATATTTCGTAAAACTTTGACAACGAATTTCTTATTAGCAAAATCAGATTTCAAAGCGAGCAATGGCAACACTGTATGGATTAAAACATTTTCTTCTCCAGCGCGCGAGACTGTATATCCGAAATTCTAAAGATATTTCGTTTTAAAACATTTTGTGATTTTGCTGTTGGATTGAAATGTATGTGCGGTAAGTGCGAAGAATATGATGTTTAATTAATAAATTGAACACACAAAAGGTTAATAATAAAAATATATTTAAAAAAAAAAGAGTTTAGCAAACCGCCTTATTAAGAAAACTGAAAATTGATATGATGAACTGAGAACAGCAGAATTGCATATACAGTAGTGTGCAAATTTATGTGAACAAGGGAGGTAGAATTTTCACATTATCTGATTTCCTGAGTTTGGTAGGCCTAGTTTACAGCTGATATATTACAGTTACAGCTAGTTACAGCTGCTATTGCGCGCAACTGTTCATTGTTTTTCACCGTATTACTTTTAGGTGATTCAGTGTTATTCTCTTTGAGGTACATTTTTTTTTTTTCTTTTCTTTTTTAGACTGTATTACATGTTGAAAAAGCTGTATGACAAGTCTTAAATGACTCCACAGAAAAGAAACTCCACAGAAAAGAAATAATACACTTACATCTTCCGACACTCCACAGAAAAGAAATAATACACTTACATTAAGTTAACACTAACATTAAGTTAGTGTTAGAATTTAGCACATTTCTATGACACAAAGGGGCATTGCTTAAGTGTAACATGCTGTTGGGTACTGTTAACAAAATTATTAGACGGTTTAAAACGGCAGGCAGTTTGTAATGCCAGCAGAAAGAAAGGTGTTAGAGAAAGAGAAAAACTAGTGTCAGATTTTAGTAAGGAAATCCAAATTAAATCCTAGGTTGTTAAGTTTTGACCTTCAAATAGATTTAACAGTCAGGCATTCATGTTCACGAATCCGCTATTCGTCGTAGACCACTAAAAGCTGGTGGTAAAGCTGCCCATCTTTATAAAAACAACTTTTATGATGAAAAGAGACTATGGTGGTCAAGAAAATAAAAGAGGAAAAATGAAGTGAAAAACAATAGGAAAACGTCTTTTTTTTTTTTTTTTTTCCTAGATGAAACCCATTTCGTTGCACAAGGTCAGGCGTCTCGCTACATCAGGTGTGGTGGTGTGGTGTATTTAATTAAGGCAAAGCACACTAGGGCTATCTGCCTAATGGGAGGGATGCCTTCGTGGAGGACTTTCTAAGGGAAACTGGCTCGTATACACGTTACACATGGGGAAAACCACGAAAACACCCATGCAGCCAGCCCGTTCGCGGGATTCGAACCTCGGACCGAACTACCAGCGTTCAGCGACTTTACCGCTCGGCCGCTAGTGGCTCTCGCTACATCAGGAAATCACACAGGGAGAAACTATCTCCTAAACATATCGACTAGTGTGTAAAATAACCCAGTTCAGAAAATGTTTCTGGGAATGCTTTTCCGTATATGGGCCAGAATCCATATTGCCAAGTGATGGAATGATGAATTCCGGAAAATATACCGAAGCGATTAAAGAAACGTAATTCCTAAGCTGACGGAACTCTGAACAACAGAACACGACATTTTTACAAGACCTTGTGCCATGCCCCACGTTGAAAAACGAGAAAATAAGTATTGAATAAAATTATGCTAAGCTCTTAGATAGGCCAGGAAATTTGCCCGACAGAAACCATTCGAAAATTTAAGTAAAGAAATGATGGGTTCTTCTTTAATCCAAGTATGGTTTCACGATGATGAAGGAAAGCTAACATATCAAAACTTGATAAAACGTATGTTAAAACGTGTCAAACAAGCCAGCGAGGTGGTCACATTTTAAACTAACATACTGTAATAACTTCCAATGGTTCAATAAAAATACCTAAAACTCAACTGGGTTCACATTAATTTGCACACTACTGTTTGTAAAAATGTATCAAAGAAGATGAGAATTATTGAACCCACTTTCTTTGTAGCGTCATTAGAATATTTGAAGCAGAAGACGTGAAAAAAAAACGAGCAATACCCTCGCCGGAACTGAACTTCTCGCATACACTAACTTCTCGCCTAAACTTCTCGCATACAAGTCCAGTATACTCCAAATACACCACGAAGGCCCACGGAAGAGGGGGAGAAAATACCTTATACCTTAAAATTGAGTATTTTGGTAACTAACTAAATTACGGAATTAAACGGGTGAGTTCAACATGCAATCATAACCGAAGCAAATTTTATGCTTTAATGTCATAAAAAAAAATTCAAGCAAGAAATTTAAAAAAAAGTTGATTTCACATTTTTGTGTTGTCCTACAATTTGCCCCCTCCGGGGGGGAGGTCGACGCCTGTAAAACCGGTGAAGCTACTGCCGAGGATCTGCACTTATGAAGTCTCCAGCATGAAGCAAGAATATATGTTTGCCTCCAATCATGTCCAAATCCATTGATCTTTATGCCAAGTCACTGAATGTTTTGGTCTCCACTGCTTCGAGGCAGTTGGTCGAGGCTTCGAGGTCTTCAGTGCTTCGAGGCAGTGTTTTGGTCTCCACTGCTTCGAGGCAGTGGGTCGAGGCTTCGAGGTCTTCACTGCTTCGAGGCAGTGTTTTGGTCTCCACTGCTTCGAGGCACTTAGGGCCCTTCCTCTTATTCCTGCATGGTTTCGACCACGGAGCTATAAAATCAGTCTTCACAGGACTAAAACCATAATTTATTTGGTGCTAGGTTCAGGCTCGGAAGGGACCATGTAGTACTGTCTTGTCTACCCCTTTGGCTCTGGGGTTATTGAATGGTTAGATTACGAGGTTGTCCTTGGGGGTTTGGCTCCCCTTGGTCAATACTTGGGGACGGACTGCGTTGCATTTTCTTCTTTTTGCTGGTGGAAGCGTGGACGTCCATCTCTGACTTTGCGTACGTGAACTTAAGTTCTGCTTCTTGCCTCTATTATCGTGCAAGACTGCAGGACTTATTCCGGCTGTCTGAAGTTGTTGCCGCTACGGACGCTTAAAGGGGTTATCACATCTAACCACTGTTAGACAGGATTTTTCTGAGAAACGAGATTATGGTAGCAGTGGTTTAACCGGGAGGATTCCTAGAAAAAACAGCCCTCCCCCTGGAAGCGAAGTCCGCCTAGCTACGGAAACGATGTCCCGCCTACAAAGAAATATTTTGAAACTTCGCCGAAAATGTTCCGTCTGCAGCTCTGTCCCGGGTACAGATCCATCAATCAGACGAAAGTTCTGCTTCTGAAGGATCAGGTGATCCCAATCTGAACGATAATCAATTAATATTTGGCGTTCAAGGTCTGTTTAGTAAGATAAGATAAACCTCGGCTGCCCTGCCTCGTGAACTAAATCACATTACAGGTCCACTCCCCCTTTAGGCACATCGTGGAGGTTCAACCTTCACTATTACCCCTCCAGAGGAGCGGCGCACCACCTGGAAATAATCTACGATCTTCCAGGCAGCACTGGTCGTTAATTGCTACCTGCCAGTCGCATGGGCGAGCCCGTCGCAGAGGGCCGTTACCCAGCAAACCGGGGAAGAAAACCCCCGGCTACGGATCCAACCACTCAGAACATGCCAGACCCCCGAGGCCGGCTAATAAGTGACCTTTCCCAGGGCCTTCATAACCACCAAGTTCATAAATTTTATACCCCCGTACCCCTAGGTACAGATCCTAGCCAGTAGCTTCGCACAGTTCTCTACGTTGGCCCCCGGGGGTGGAAGTCTGTTTAGTAAGTGAAAATGGTAACCTAGTTACGTAGGTTTCGTGGAAATGTGCGGGTTCTGAGAAATGTCCCTTCCAACGTCCAGTCTCGCGTAGCGGAAGCATATGTGATAGAGACTTAAGATAGAGTAATACAGAAGCTAGGTTCTGTTTATGGGAGGTGGGAAGTAAAATTCTATGTTCTGGTAGACCTCCATGGTCCTGGTAGACAGAATTGCAGACATACATGAACCTAGACTGTGTGAACATATAAGTCCCCCTGGTTGAACGGGGTTTTATGCCTCTAGGGGTTAGGCCGATTAACCGTGTATGGCAATTCTAAGCTGGGTGGTCTGGGTGCTTCTTCTTCCTGGTGAACTGTTCTACTGTTACAGCATCTATAAAATCGTTCTATGTCAATCAAAAAAAGAAGTCATAAACTAATAATTAACATCTTCTAAATTATAAATGTCGGTGCTTATTATATTAGTCCTTCCTTCGCA